TCTGCACTTGAGAAAGTCATCTTTTAATTCTGTATCTCATAAAAAGGTTGAAAGGCGAAATGTACTTACCAACCAAACTGCCAGATCAGCAGAGGGTCTTGGATACACAAAGGCCAAGGAGCATTCAACATCATTGCATCTTAGGGAAGTGCAAATGAAGCCACACTGACACGCCGTTATTAGTGAACATTTAAAGGTAGAAGCTTACTTAAAATGTTTTTGAATTAGCTTTTTAACTTGACTGCCTGTTTCTCCTGTGTGGACTTAGTTGGTGGCAATGTCACGTCGACAAATTGGAAAGTTCAACATGCCCATTGGGGGAAGCTTTGGGGCCATAAGAGTCCACTTTGGGGACATAAGAGTCCACACTAACCTTAGCCTAGCAGTAAGTCCCTTGCTATAGATGTATGCATCGGTTGTTTTCCCCTGGTGGGCTCGGAAATGGGTTGGTGCAGCTGACGAGAGTAAATGTGGGGCCGGGGAGATGGCTCTGAGTTTCAGAGCATGCACAGCTCTTGTTGAGGACCCTGGTTTGATTCCTAGCCCATGATCAGGAGGCTTACGGCCACCTAGAGCTCTCTAGCTCTCTCTTCTGGACTCTGTGAGCACCTGCATTTATGTGCACAAACCCACACACAGACACGCATGCACACACACAAGTAAAAATAAATCTTGGGGATGGGGCAGAAATAATAGCCAACGAAACCCGGGGGCATTGGAAATCTCCAGGTCTAAACCAGCCCACTCTTATCCTTCCACATAAGAGGAAGCTGAGGCTGAGGCAAGTGGAGAAACTCATCAGCATCTCAGAGCAAGCTACAAAAGGCAGCACCTTTAAACTCTTCAACCAAAGGGAAGGGCAAAGAAATGGACTGCAGAGGCAATACTTGTTTGCTTAAAGATAACGGCAACCACAGGGCCATCTGATAGCAAGATGTCATGTATCACTCAACCAGTGAAGAACATGGCCACCCAACCCCACTGGGGCTAGCGGGGATGACCAACATGCCTACTGACCATCCTTGGCTTCACTGTAATGGCAGCTTGCCATCACTGGGCTTGCAAGATTGCCTGTCCCATTATTCATCTGATTCTATAGCACATCTGGAAAACCCCATGAAAGGACAAGAAGAGGTGAACCCTATTCTGGGAAAAATCCACACATGGAATCTCCCACCCCACTCTAACTCATAAACAACCCCCCTTCTGTTAACCTTCCTCAGAAAGGGTGCCGTCCAAACCCCAGTGGCTCCACTCTCTAGGGAAGCCCTCACTTCCTCACATGGCCTTCTGTCCTTCTCTTTGGTGTGTGTCTCTCTCCGTGCCCACACTTAAATAATCATGGATTGTCTTTTCCAAGTCCTAAACTTTATTTACTCAACTCCAACTTCACTTCATCCTGACTCATTCTAAAAAATGATAGGTTTGTAGCTGAAGGTGGCACCCAGGCAGCAGACTGGGGATAGTATCTCCACTGCTGGAGATGGGAGTGCCCTTTACAGTGTATACAGGCAGTGAATATACAGGTAGTATGCAGGCAGTGAGTATACAGGCGGGTATACAGGTAGTGAGGGACTCGGTCCAATGACTTAGATCTGAAATCCCAGTAGTTGGCTTAATTCTCCAATTCCCAGATTGCTCAGCCAACCCAATGGTCTGGAAATTCCCGTTCTGATTGCCAGAACACCTGTGAGCCCTTAGGGGCTTTGGCCTCTGATGAATGCAATTTATTCTTTCTCGGTGTCTTCTGGTGACTGATTGCCGTCTGTCCTGAAGATTCTCGTAGCACCATCCATTTGATGCTGAGTGCTGGGTGTTATGTGCTGAGCCTCTACACTGGGCTCCTGAGGGCATCGCTGATCCCCCTTTTCTTCCTCCTTCCATTTTCCTCCTGTTACTTCTGTTCCAAGTTCCCATTGGCTGGGTTCTGTCTTGGAGAACCCAGAATCAACAGAACCTGAAGCATAATGGGCCAGCTCCTCTGCCCAATGGTGGCAAACACTAGACCCCTCTCTGGCTGTGGGAACTCCTGGGTACTGAGGTGTACGCCTGCCTGCCAAGCCCAGACTCTGATAAGTGGGCAGTAATCATTAGAGCATCCAAGAATTTAAAATGGAGTTGAACGATGAGGACCAGGCTCCTCCTGACCAGCGTATGCTTGTGCCTTGGATGGGGACGGGAAGGGGGGAGGGAGCTGATTAAATCATAGCACACCATCAGCTCCCCAAGGGGCAAGAGGTGACCAACTACACTTCTCCTCTCCACATGCCCAGTTGTCCCCACACCCCTCAGGTAGGCAGATGAGAAAAGAAGGGGCCCAGGTGAGCACCGAGGCTCCCATGAGAAGAGCCACCAGCTCATCACTCTGAGGTTCTTGCCAAACCTAAATGCATGAGACACTAAAGGCTGAAGACAAGTGGTCCTTATGCCCTGGGGACTCTGGCTCAAAACAGGACAAACTTAGACAAGTTGACCAGGCCACCTGCGTGGCAGTCGGAATGCGTGATGTTCCCACAGGCTCACATGTCTGAGCATTTGATCTCCATCTGGTGGAGATGTGCGGGGGAGGTTGTGGGTTGTGGAACTATTAGGAGATGAAGCTTCACAGTGTCTGGAACTGCTGGCCAGAATAAGCTCTTTCTCCCGAGAGTCGATGTTATTTGGATAATTTTTGTCACAGCAATAGGAACTAACCAAAACCGGAGAATAGATAAACTCTGCCACCTTGGAGCCTTAGCTAAGACATGGTGACCTGCCAAGATAGCATACTGGTAGAGGGGACTGGGGAAAGTCACTGAAACTCACCAAAGGGGACCACAGAGCTCAGGGGAATGGACCTCTCTAGTCATTCCATGGGAGTCTTCTGTAGGTCTCTGGACTGGGCTTCATGCTGTCCCCAGTGGCTGTACCCAGGAGGAAATCTAAACCTAAACTGACCTTGAGTGTGTCAGAGGAGGGAGAAGACACCAAACTCTGTATACTGCGCTGGCTTTCGATTTATAAGTGAGGTCTCGGGGCTAGAGAAATGGCTCCGTGGTTAAGAGCACTGACTGTCTGCAATTCCAAAAGACCTGGGTTCAATTCCCAGCACCCACCTTGGAGCTCACAGCTGCCTGTAACTCTAGTTTCAGGGATTCTGACACCCTCACACAAGTGCACATAAAATTAAATAAAAGGAGAAGTGAGGTCCCTGTAAGTAAGCTCCCTGTCTATAGTTTTACCTAAGATGAATTCTATATCATACAAATGGCAGAGAGGAAGCCAGAAAAATCCTCCCAAAGAGCCTAATCACACAGGCCAAGGGGATCTTGAAATAGGAATCCACAAAGAGGGCTAACATCACCAGGCAATGGGGAGCAGAGGTCACTAAAAGTCTGAGCTGCTGCTATCAGCTTTGCCTTGATGGCTTCTTTATGAGACAAGGCCTTTCAGAGATCAAGAAAAACCCAGACATTTCCAGAAAATTCCAAAAGGTGGTCATCCATGTGTGTGGCTGGGTTCGTGTTCTTGACATGTGTTTATAGACACGGGATGTCTTTACACAGCCAGAGAAAGGTGTTGGAGACCATCGTGCTCACTGTGGGACAGTTTCGAAGAACTAACTCTTTCTATCTTTAGGACCTGTTGGCTGCTGCTCTGAAAATAAACGCACCTCACCTGGGCGGATGTCAGTGTGTCACTGTGGTGGAGGCAAAGATGAGGTCTCAGAGAGTGCCTGGTGCCACTTAGGTCTCCTGGGTACCTGTACAAGTGAGCGTAGGCAGATCATGGTACCCCAACCTATAAGGACTCCATTCCAAGCCTCCATCTAGGCTAGAGATGGTCAGAGCCGCTGCTGTACTGAGCTGGGGCAAGAAGAACTGTGCAAACACCGACGCTGCCTGGCCATCACGAAGCAATGCCCCAATCAGTGAGGAATACAACAGAGATATTGGGATCAGAGATTGGAGTGTGGACAGACAGCGTAGGGGCAAACAGTCTATTACGAACCTTGTGAGCTTGCCCTTCATAGCGTGCCATTTGTTCTTTCACTGGCGGGGTGGTGCTCACCGGTTCTAAGACTGAACGCTGATGATCCAAGCCCCTTCTGTACTCTCTTCATTTTCTTTGTGCCTGCTAGATTGACCAGGCTCTTTTAGAAAACGCCTGGTGAGGCTAGGTCCGAGGAGGACACTGAGCCAGAAGCCTTGGAGGCTTTAAGGACACAGGGAAGCCCCTTGGTCCCCAAACCTGCTATTTACTAGCTTCAGGGCTGCAAATAAACGGCCCCTGTCATTTCTACAGCGTCCTTCACAATGGCTGCTCTCAAGCCCTGCAAGTAATAAACTAAAGGCTCTCAATGGAGGTGTAGGGTACGGCTGGTCAGCGTCACCTTCTGGCAGCGCCTGGTATTGCAGCTAACCTGCAGTTCAGCCTGAGCAGCGGATGAACTCAAAACCGCGAGAGGAGAGAAATAAAGGCCCAATAAAGAGGTAAAGATTGTATGGAGGAGCAGGGATCGGAGACCCCATGGTGCAGAAGGTGCCCCAGAGTTCCAAGTTCTTACAAATAAAAAGAAAACTGCCTTAGTTTGGCCTCCTGCGGGCCAGTTTCCAAGGGAATTGTCAGTTACACATGAAAACACGCATGTGTCCCATCCTCTCTCTGTCTTGGTTTTTCTGTGCATTCTCTGGGAGTGCTGAAATGGGAAAGGGGAAAAGTCTCTGGCCTCGGGAATTCGCCTTGGTGGCTTATTGGGACATCCTGTCCCCCTCAAAGCTAGACGGTCCCCCAACTGTGATGATGTCATTACTCTCCACTGCATGGCGAGTCCTATACAATGTCAGCTGTCACTTTTGAGGTCTCCTTGGCGTGTGTGACCTTGCGTGTCGTTCCTCACTCTCTTTCTCCCCGTGCGTTCTGAGGCAAGATCTCTCATTGGGACCTGAGGTCCACAGATCACCAACAACCCCCCGGGACCCCCCTATACAGGAAAACCGAGTATAAAAACAGGCCAGGGGTACGCAGATCACAAGCCGGCTTTATTGGATTAGTTGCATGGGGGGAAACGGCTCTTCCCGTGAGCAGCAAGTACAGGCGTTAGAGTGCAGAATCCAGAGGAAGGGGGAGCTGCTGGAACCCCGAGGCCCACTGGCCTGGAGACATGCGGAACACTCTGGGGGGGGGGTCTGTGGCGACCTCGGAGAGCAGGCGGATTCACTCCTTGAGGTCCCTGCATCTGGGAGGGCAATGCTTCCATCTCATTCCGCTCTGAAAAGGAAGGAGAGTGGAGAGGAGAATCAATATCCCCTCGGTCCCAAGAAGCAGTCGCCAGCACCCACATTCTTCCCACCAGGGACAAACATTTCCCAGAGCCAAGAAAATCAAGTTCCCGGGGGTTTCCCAGTTTGCCGGTGTGCTCCTGCCACAGGGATAGGCACTGTGCCCAGAATGCATTCTGCTCCTGGTCTGGACTCCTGAGGACTTTCCAGTCCTCCCATCCTCACCCGCCACCCTCAGGGTCCCAGAAAGGCTGCCTGCTTACTGGCTTTTCCTGCGGTATTCCTGCAGCGCTTTCTCTGCCACTGTGTCCATGAACTTGGGGTTGTCCCTAGAGACGTCTTCAGGTAACACCACTGTGATGGGGTCAGAGTCAAACAGCTTCACCACCACCTCAGTGACACGGGAGGGAACCTCCGAGTCAGAAGAATGGGTCGTCACCTGGAAGAAGGAGGGGGAGGGGTCTCTACACCATGCCCACAGAGTGTGCTCTCCTTTGTCAAAGGATATGAAACTTCCCTTTGCCCCCTCAACCAAATATGGCTCTCCTTGGTATACGTTACTACTCAAGATGTCTAGACAATTCCAAGAAAAAATATCCCGATTTGAAGCAACAAATGGTAGTTGAAAAAGCTGACCACGCACTCCAGAAACTCCAAATGATTTTTCACATGTTTCCTTGTTGTCTTATTTTCTTGTTTTTGCTTTGTTTGAGAGAGGGTCTCGCTGTGTTGTCTAGCCTGGCCTCAGCCTCCCCACTTTCCTGCCTCAGTTTCCTCAGTGCCAACTTACAGGCATGTGCCACCATGCCTGGCCCCAACATCTGCTTTACACAAATGTTAGCTGGTCCGGGTTGACAGGGGTAGGTAGAGAGCTGTCCTCACTAGCTGACAAAGAACCAATCCGTGTGCCGCTCGGCGGAGAGGCAGGAAAGCAACTCTGCAGCCAGGCTGACAGGCTAACGACCCAAGGAAGTTACCCAACGTTCCCCATTCTTAGCAAGAGCCAGAACCTCTTTCCTTCTTCACCTTGGAAGCGGGCCTTGGATGTTTGACCTCAAGGATCATGAAGGCATTTCAATACTACAATGTGCCTATGGTTTTCCTCGTCCCTGCTGGCGGATACTGTAGGGGCCCTCGTGTGGTAACGTTTGTTACCACTGCCTCTCTAAAAGGCACACGTCTCCTCTAGACCACCACGTGGGCCTCGGCCTCATCGGGTGGAGACTCACGGTGGAGACGCGCAGGTAGTACTGGTCTTCGCCCTGGGTGAGGTTGGCCAGCTGGGACACCCAGTTGAACTGCCTGTTGAGCTGCTCCAGCAGGGATGAGGTGTTGAGCATCTTGCTCTGGAGAGAATGAAGAAGCTCATTGTAGTGCTGGGTCAACCTCTCGGCCATCTGGAGGGAGTCGTTCAGCTCCTGGCGAAGGTGAGCCTGGGCAGGGTTGTTGGTCGAGCAGTCTGCCCGGAGAAGAAACAGACAGAAGGCAGACGCATGAAGGGAGAGTTGGAAGGGGAGGACAGTGCCCTTGGGAACCTGCAGCTGGAATCTGAAGCGGAGCTACTTCAGCAGAGGTCTGCAAGCCGGTTCACCACAGTCCTCCACCCCCTCCTGGAAACGAGCATCGAAGCACTGCTCCCAACCATGCTTTGGGAAACAAAGGGCAGATGTGCTGAGCTGTGTTGGAGCAGCATGGCCCGTTGGGTGGTGGACATAACCAGTCTCGGTGACTTTGGGGATGTCATCGCCCTGATGACGACTACTCCATCTTTTCAGACTTGGAGTTACTCTCACTGCCTGAGTGGCTCCCAGGAGTAATTTCCAAATAGGAGGAAGCTGTTGAGCCCTGGGCACCCCGCAGAGAAGAGGAGGAGTGTTTACTTAGGTGCACCTACTGTGTGCCACACACCAGGTGCCCCAGATGTCCTGTTCTCTCAGAGTATGTTTGGTTTGACCTAAGCATCAAAACTCCCACTTTCCCAGTAACGAAAGGTTTTGGAAGTTAAGAGACTTGCCCAGGTCTATAGGGGAAATAATCTGTGGAACCAGGATTGAACCCACGTCTTCAACTCCTCAGCTTGCGCCCTTCCTCTTCTGAGACTATGGTTCTAGAATATCATTAAGTCCAAGCTTTTTTTTTTTTTTTAATGTATTTGAGAGATTTGGCAGTTCTGGTTTTCCAGAACCCAAGATGCAGAAGCGGCAGGCATGTCCTTAGGCTACAAAACACAGAGGTGTGGTGCCTGCACTTATGGGCCCACACCTGGCCAGAGGGCTCTTGCAGACAATCGGAAAACTGCTATCTTCCCTTCCGGGCCTTGAGTGCACTGTAGACATCAGGCTTCTGGGACCTAAATAATGTTCATGTTTTCTAAAAAACAGTTTTTATCCTCCTCCCTCCCCCCACCATTCTTTTTAAAACATCTAGGAGAGGCTATATCGAAACTAAGCAAGACAAGAGAAAAAAAATAAAGAATATCAAAACTATACAAGACAAGAGAGAAAAGAGCCTTTAAAATGTTGCACGGGGGGAAAAACAAACAAACAAACAAAAAAAAAAAAAAACAGGATTTGAGACAGGAAGCCAGGCTGAGGAAAAAAAGAAAAGAAAAGAAATCTTCGAGGAATAACCTGAATGCTCTTACTACTAAATAGCCCAAACAAGGAAAAGTCCTTGAGGGGCTGGATGGTGTAGAATGGTGATTCTCCACCTGGGGCTGTCCACCAGGGGACATTCCAGAAGTTCTGAAGGTGTTTCTGACTGTCACGGTGGAGGGAGGGTTGCTCTTAGCAAACGGCAGATGGAAGTCATAGGTGCTGTATTCAATGTTCAGCAACGCTCAGGTCTGCCCCTCAGGCCTGAATCAAGGCATGCTGGGCTAGAGGTCCCTGGTAGAGCCTATCCATATGATTGTAAGCATCGTAAATAAGAGCTAATGGATGACAGAAGCCATGACTTCTGAGAGTGCTGTCCAGGGTCACTAAGTGTGAAGTAAGAAATCCAGCCTATCCAGTGACTGGCTTCTCTGCGCTCAGGCGCTCCATCATTCAGCTATCCTGACAGTTTCCTGGGGAAAGCCTGCAGGTGTGGCCACTGTTTGTCTATAATTTCACACCATAACCTTTGAAAACACTCATGTTTGTTTGCATGGGCTCCTAACATCGCAGGAGTGAGGCTGGGAATAATTAACCAGACTCTGAAGGTCTGTCCTGGCCAACAACCAATCTGAGGTAACAGCAAAGAGGGAGATTAACTCTTTGTGATCCGAGCAGGGAGTACTGGATACAGTGAGCCAAATGTGAAGACTGGACTCAAAGCAGGAGCAATAGGTTCATAGCCAGACCTGACAAAACTGTGGGCAACAGTTTTGGGTTTGCTTGTGTTTTCTTTGAGACAGAATAGCACTGCATAGCCAAGACTGGCCTTGGATTCAGCATCTTCCTACCTCAGCCTCCCAAAGGTTGGGATTATAGGGATGTACCACCATACCCAGGTTGTCTGGGGAACCGTTGAAGATGTTGGTTCATCTTCTGAGGGACTAATCCACCAAATAGAACGTGGCCAGGATACCAAGGACCACCATCGCAAGGGCATAGTCCCACAGAGAAACCCCAGGATGCAGTTCACAAGCACAGCCTAAGCGAGATGCCTCATGTCTTGAAATATTAGATAAGACGCCTAGCCATTCTGCAAAGTGGAAAGAGCTGTACCGAGGTCACGAGGTCATTCCGAGAGGTGAACAAGCACCTGTGATGTGTTTACAGCAGTGCCTGGCAAAGGGTGAGTGCTTGTTCAAGTGTATGATGTATGTGACTTTATAAATCTGAAGTTCAAAGGCAGGGTCTACTGTTCTTGGCATTGTGGGACAGGGTGACCAGTTGAGGATTGCTGGCGGCCATAGTCAAATTCCAGGAAGATACTGGACATGGACTGCAGGTTTACCATGAGCCACCAGGGTGGTGGGTGCTTCCCATACCTCATCTACTTTCGAACAGTCTGCACCTGAATTTGAGTCTAAGTGCAGTGGGCGTGGCTCGGTGGTAGAACACTCACCTAGCATGCATGAGGCCCGGGAGTTCCACCCCAGCTCCCAAGTCCTGAACCCTAGATGTGGGACAGCAGGCCATATGCCAGGGTGAGGAATCTCCCAGGGACTATGGCTCACAGACAGGGAGCTAGTCTCTGAAGAAGGACAGTGCCAGTGAAGTCACTGGTGACCCAAAGTCAGAGGACCACAGATGACAGCCTGGCCCCCAACTCACCCACAGACAAGATCTCCTGGCACTTCTCGCACTGGTCCTTCATCTTCAGGCATCCTGTGGAGTTGTGGCGGATCTCCTTGCACACCGTGCGGCCATCTTCACCTTCTGGACACATGGAGGGGGGAAGGAGCAGGCTGAGGCAAGTGGCGCTTTGGGAGGGAGCGGGAGCCCACCCAGTGCTCCTCCACGCCTCTGCTCAGCCCCCATTGTCAGGGCAAGATACAGCTTGGTATGCTTACAGACATGGGACTTCCCTGGGGCTGCCTGAGGATGTCTGCATGGATCCTCAGCAGCCCTGCCACCATCTCCATCTGAGGAGATCTCTCCCGCCACAGTCCCTCAGCTGTGTGCCTTCTGGCCTCACACTCTTCTTCCTTCTCCTTGGCTGATGGTGCTCCCTAACTGACCATCAAGCAGGAGTGTGTCCTGACAACACAAACCATCCCTGATGGAGCTACAGGAGAGGTGTGTTGGGTGCCAGGCCTTCTGGTACTTCTAATGCAAACTATGCCATGTAGGGCATGGTGTTAGATACAAGGCACAGACGAAGAAAATCGCTTCTCAGACTCTGGTTTCTTGTGTCCACATTACATTTCATCCTTACATCCTGACATTGCATGCTAAGGTCATGGCCGTGAAGGATGACACAAACTGAGACACTATTCATTGCCTGGAAGGACAGGCCTCCCACACCACACCCTCAAGAGTTCTCGAGAAAGAAAAGTGTGGTCCTACAGGAGACACAACCCGGAGAGCACCCTGAGTTGGCTGCAAAGAATTCGGGCTCTGATCTCTACGGGGGGTAAATTGAACTGGGCTGCAATTTGTCACCTGCGTTCCTTTACCCCTATCCTAGCTCCTTTATCCTGTAAATGGAGAGAATACCAGCCTCAGGGGCTGCTGGGAACACGAAAAATGGCTCATGCCAAACCCTGGAAGAGCCTTAATATCTGGGAGATTCCCGTTCCTTCTTGGAAAACAAGTAATTGTTTTCTGACCTCCTAAGGACTCCACATCCGGGAACTTGATGACTGGGCTGTGGAGCTGGACGTCCATAGCCTGTTGAGCCTGGTGGATCATCTCAAAGAACGGCTGGAACATATCCTGGAAACCCAGGCCTCCAAAGTGTGGGAAAGGCATGAGGCTGCGGACCAAGCGGGACTTGGGATATAAGAAGTGAGGCTTTCTGTGCGGAAAGCCAAAGTGTGAGAAATAGTGGGTGTCCTGAGGCTCGTGGGTGAAGAACCGGTCCTGGAAGAGCGTGTCCATGATGCCAGATGCCCGAGAAAAGCTGTCCTGCATGGCATCCAGGATTTGGCTCTGCTGCCGGTCACTCTCCATCAGGGAGTCAATGCGGTCGCCGTTCATCCAGAAGTAGAAGGGTGAGCTCTGGTTCAGAAACTCCTCCAGCTGGGACCCGGAGAACCAGTGTGAGGAGGTGTGAGCTCCAGCCTGCACCTGTCCTCCCCCACTGCTCTGCCTCTCACAGCTCACGTCAGGCTGGTGCCCCTCCCTCTACCTCTCACTGCAAACCTCAGAGACTCAGAGGAGTCCCCTGTCACCTTTGGCCACCGAGGACAGCCACTCCCAATTAGTGAGTTTTACTGTGTCCCAACCAAGCAAAGCTCACAGGCAGGGATAGAACCAATGCTAGTATACTAAATATTCTTAATTCCTAGATGAGCTCAAGATTCTACCATACCACGAGGCCATTTTAGCCAGCTAGTTAGCCTCCTAAGAGATGGTACCTGGTCAAGCATACCTCTGGTGATCACTTACATCTGCACTCATGTCAAACATGACCAATCGACCTTGACACTAGAAAGGCGTGCGGTCAAGCACTTCGAATCCATTGTACCCAGCATACGAATGAGGCCTATTTCATGGATTCTCCACATTCCCCATCCAGAACCCAGGCCGTGTACCTGGTCTCCTTCTCACCTGGCGGCCAACCAGACCCGAGCCACTTCTGCAGACGCGTGCGTAGAACTTCATGCAGGTCTGCTTCAGGCAGGGCTTACACTCTTCCCAGAGGGCCATCATGGTCTCATTGCACACTTCCGGGAATGCCTTCAGTTTCATTTCGGTGTCCCTGGTGTTATCCAGAGCATCCTTCGGGAGGACAGCAAGGCCAGGTGAGCCACACCGAGACCTGGGCAGTCCTCCCTGGTCTGTGCCATTGCAGCCCACATCTTCGCTCTAGCCCACCTGCCGGGCCGTACCCACCAGGCCCTCAGGAGCTTCTCATCCTTCAAAGCCAAGCTGTTCCCTAAGTTTTCCTTGACTGCTCTGACTTACTGTTCCGACAGTCTCTTCCTCAGGCTCCACCTCTTCCTTACACCCCACTTCCTCTTTTCATCCTCCAGTCTCATCTTTCTATTATAACGGTGGTGCCTGACATGTAAATTAAAGCTATCAAAACAGAATTCACATCAGCCATCCAACTTGTTATGGTTTCTTTGACTCTGTCATTGGCTCCAGGGTTCGTCAAAATAAAAAGTTTAAGTCCTGTGCCTGACGAGATATTAGTTTACAGCAAATGTGTAGATATATAAATATAAATAAATGGATGGGTGGATGGATATGTGTATAAAATCTAATGTATATGTGTGTGTATGCTCGCGCACACACCAGAGTCAACTTAGATGTTCAAATGTAGAAGACAAGGTGAACAAATGGTAACAGGGCTGCCCCCAGTTATTAGTGTTCTTAGCTACCCGTGGTCAACCACAGTCTAAAAATAGTTATTGTGGAGGTGGAGGATCTGAGGTATTTTGAGAGTGAGAGAAATCACATCTACATAACTTCCTCTACAGTAGCATTATAATTACATTTATAACATTTATTTATATTAATAATATAGTAATTATAACATTATGATTATCCTATTTTATCTTTGGTGTTCCTATCTTGCTGTCTGTAATTTATAAATTAAGCACTATCATAGGATTGGGGCATACACACGGGAAAACACACACTATCTAGAGGGCCTGCTACTATCCACAACTTCAGGCTCCTACCAAGGATCTTGAAACCTGTCCTCCCGTGGCTAGGTGCGGATGAATGGATGTCTAAGGGTAGATTACAAGGACTTTACATTAAGTTTAAAATATTACGGTAAGCACTTTGGTGTTAAAAGTAATTAAATACAGAAGAAAAGAGTAATGGGTTGTTGTAAAATGCTCCATGACACCCCTCCCTACCCCAACTCCCCAACCCGACCCCAAGTCCTGCACCATGCCCTATCCACAGAAAGGATTAGAAACACCTATTGAAATGTATCTGGGTCTCAGGCCCTGGGCCAGACTTGCAAGGAAACCAGATCCAAGCCCTCAGCTCAGAGGCTTTCACAAGCAAATATGCTTTCTTTTTCAGTGTTTCCTCAGTGTAGCTCAAGCATTAGCAACGCCCTCCAAGGACTGTGCTAGGACACCATGGCAGCCTAGCAAGGCATCTGCCCACCGTGTCCCCCTCCTCCCCTCCAGCAGGCAGAGCCAGGAGGGCTCAGTCAAGGCTTGGCCCTACCTCTTTCTTCTTCTTGGCTTCCTCTAAACTGTTGAGCAGTGAGTTGCGCTCCGCGTTGGTTTTCTCTATGAGGGTCTTTATATGCTTCACTCCTTGGACGGCATTTTGAATTTCCTTATTAACATACCTACTCCCTTGATTGGACATTTCTGTGGGAGAGAGGAAGGCAGGATGAGCTGAGAGGGAAGAAAGTGGCTGGAGAAATAGCCTGGGAGCCAGCGGGACTGTGAGAAAGCCATGATCTGATACTGGGTGTGAGGTTCTGTCAGGCTGAGAGACCATCACTGCCACTCCAAGGCGGAGGCGGCCCTTATGGTCCCGACCCTGCCGCTATGTCTCATCACAGGGGCTGTGGGAGACTCTGTCCCACAGGAGCAGAATATAAAAAGGGGCAGTCATAGTAAGTCTGACCCCTGCCAAAACACCCCAGGGAGGCAACAGCCACAGAGGATATTTCAAGGAAAACAGAAAAAAAAAAAAAAAAAAAAAAACAGAACAAAACAAAAAGATAGTCAGCCTCTTAAGCATCAAAATACAATAGAAGTCTGCCATTTTAGATACAGATCTTTCTGGAGTTCCTGTTAACCCCAGCCTTTGCATCTCTTTGTTCCACTGCACAGTGACAGGGGACAGGGACAGGAAAATGAGTGAAGTAGCACCTGACACTGTGGAGACCGGAAGATGAGTGAAGGGCCACATTCACCATGGAGACCATACCCATGGCACAGCACGGCACAGCAGTACCACTGACTGCTTATTTATCCTGCCTTAAGCACCATTTCTCACACCTCACTATGCTCTACCTACTACTCCTGATTCCACTGTCAAACACACCCACTGAGAGGGGGAGGTAGGGTGAGGGAGCTGTTGAGCCGAGGGCAAGAAGTTTCAACTGTGCAGCGTGAGTAAGCCTGGAGGACTAGGGTTCAACCGGAGCTAGTGGTTCATAATATTGTGTTATACCCTTGAAGCATGCTAAGAGAATATATTTTAAGTGTCCGAACCTCAACAATAAGGTGAGGTGGTGGATAGCTAATAGCTTGACGATGGCAATCATTCCACCATGCATGTCCATATCCAAAGCAGAGCAACGGGTTGTACTGTTTTTAATGAAGACCCCCACAGAACTGCTCAGCTATGAGCAAGAGGTTAGGAGAGGAGGGAAAAAAGGCAGGTTCCCAGGAAAGCCTTGGAAGACGGGAGGAGGGGGGAGGGCAGTCTCAGGTGACTGCTTCATGTTGAATTTTACAGCTCTGAGAGAAAACTAAGAAAGCCAGGTGAGGGGAGCAGGAAGGAACTGGGAAAATGACTGACATGTGGCCAACAGAGGGGCTTGAGGCGGAAGACAATGTCTAGAAGGTACCTGACCACCAAAAAAAAAAAAAAAAAAATCGAAGAAGCAGGAGCTAGAACTCAGAGACTCGCACAGAGCAGAGAATGGAACCGGGTCAGGGACAGACCCAGGGTACAGCATGAAAACAGGCCTTAGCACTTGGGGACTGAGCTTTGGGAGGTGACCCTGCCCCAGGCCCCACCACCTGTCCCCACCTGAGGGACAGCTGGCTTAGTCTACTTGCCCTGGAGCTCATTGTCAGAGACTTGTCCCTGGACCACACCATTGTCTGAGGTCAGCAGCAGGCCCACGAACAGCAGGAGAATCTTCATGGTGTGGCCCCCTCCGAGTCTGGAGTCCCGGAATGTCTGTTTAGGAAGAACAGCAGAATGTCATGGCAACAGCTGGACAGCTTACGATGTTCCTGCAGCCTGGCGCGGCTCCCTGAGAGGAGGTGGGGTGGCCCTGGAACACGTGGCCTTCCTCTGTCCCCTCAGCTGGCACTGCCGCAGATCACCGCTGAAGAACGTGGGAAGGAAAACAAGATTCAGTTGACACCTTCAAAAGATATTGGGGGCAGAGAGGCTCTGGGGAGAAGAACCGTGGCTCGACCACAGAGAGGACACAGGCTATCTGGAGTTGGAGGGGCCAAGCTCTTTTCTCCCCTTAAGTGCTCTAGGCAGGGTAGATGAGTTTCCTGAGTCCAGGCCTCTTTGTCTACTAGGCATACTGAATGTGCCAAATACAGAAGATGCCTCTCTGGGATCATGCGCACATCCCTCTTCTATCCCCTTCAATGGGACCACACCCTACCTCACAGCAAGACCCTGTGCCCCCCTCAGGGGGGGTTCTCAGCCTCCTAGGGCTATCTCAGTGTGCTTGTCAGGATCCAGAGGTCATATGCGTCCCCTTCCATCAGCACAGGAAATTCAGTCCATTTGATCATCTCTAGGCAAGGCTTGTGCCAAGCTGAGTATGGATTGTGGCAAGGGGGCAAGGGGCATAAAAGAGTAACTTGAGGAGGGAAGGTCTGTTTAGGGAGCAGAGAAGGCAGAGCTAGGGAAGGGAAAGAAGAAGCCAGAGATTAGCAGTGAACCCCCATGAAAGCCCCTTCAGAAGCCCATTGGCTCCAGGAAATCCCTTTCACATGCCTGTTCCCTCTAAGCCTGGACCAGCAAGGTCTGCCAAGATGCCCTGGCCACCACTGGGCTGGCTGCCCTGAGCCAGGGGACACAGGCTGAAGCCCGAGTCTTACACAATAGATCTTTTCCCAGAAGCTAGATTGGTTACATAAAACACACACACACACACACACACACACACACACACTCACTCACTCACTCCTTGCATTTTCAACCCTGCCCAGAATGGCTTATCTGGGCTCAACTTGCTATAACACAGGAACAGGAAAAGGGGAGGGAGCTCTCTTCCCGAAGTGGCTCACTCTTCAAACCTGCTGATGGGCTAGGCAGGCCCATCAGCACGCTGGGCAGATCAGTAACAGGGAAGGCCTCACTGAGGCGTAATTGTGCACACAGAGAACAGGGGTGGTGGGGGAGAGGGGGCGAGCACTTTCCCAGTCATGGGTGGGTGCCAGAGCCAGCCTGGTTTCAGATCCGATAGGAAGGCCCCGATCTCATAGGTCGTCCAGATGCTCCTCAAGAAGACTTGTGAAGATTCCGGGTCAGAACCTCCTTGTCATATAAGCTTTCGGGTGCCTTGGTGTTGCTGGCCCAAGGACAATGTGACCTTTTGCCACGTCAGAGATGAAGCCACAGAAATACCTGTGGGTGGGAGAAGCCTACCGGTGGCTACTTTTGGAAAATCCATTCAACAGCCTTGGAAATGGCTTCTGACCAGAGGACAGTATTGTGCCCAGAAGAGACGACAGGACAGCCGAGGAAGACCACGAAATGGAAAGTGAAGAAGGATGGAGAGGCAGTGCAGTGAGCTTGGGGCCTGCCAAAGGAGACCTGGAGTCTGGAGAGCCACCAAGCCTCCAGAGAAGGGAGGTTCCACCATTGAGGTTCCCAAGACACACGGCAAGCCGGTAGTCACCCCAAGAGAAGAACACAGCCCCCTAAAACCTCATCTTAATGTTCGTTCCTTGGCAGCAAACGTCTCAAATCTCCCAGCCTCGGTTGCCTTATCTGTAAAATGGACATGATGCAGACCTCAAAGAAGCGATCCTCTGTTCTGTAAAGCTCCTAAGAACAGACTCTGAGGTCTGGTGGTAAGGAAGACTCCGGGTCAGAATCTGCTTGTCATACGAGCTTTCAGGTGCCGTGGGGCTGCCGGCCCAAAGAAGGCCACACAGCCCACTGCCCTTCCTCTACACTGACTCACTTCCTCTCATCATTTGGAGGCTGGCCTACTGCCTGGCTGCCAACTGCCCTGTGGGCATGAGCCCCACCAGGGCCAAGGACCTCCTTATCTAGTAGAAAAACACAGCCTCCTCCCTTGTGCTATATTTTCTCCACTTTTTTTCAAGGCGTTTTTTATAAACCATCACTTTATGGGTTCTGTTTTCAAATACCCTTTAAAGTCATACATTTGTGGCTCCTATCCCATTGGCTAGCGCTTGCCCTTTGTTTTTATTATTCTCACAAGGTTTTGTACTAAACTGTACCCTCGTGAGCTTCCTGCCACAGAACCCAGCATAAACTCTTGAATTCTTAACTTCTCCCTCTAAAAGCAGCATCAACACCAGCAGTTTTTTTTTTTTTTTAAACTGGGTCCAGGAATTCTGGAAAGCCGAAAGGGCTCCAAGTTCTGTTATAACGTTGGAGGCTAGAGCTCTAACCCTCAGCAGGTCTCAGATTAACATCTATAAAACGATCTGGTGGGATCAGACACGTCGGGCCTGATGGAGCATGTCTCTGAAGGACTGAATGCATGCGTTTAAGCCAGCGTAAAGCAGGACGGAAGGGCTGCAGCAGCGTGTCCTTAAATACGCAATATCTTATTTATCATGCGCTGTCGCAGGAGCTGGAAGGGAGGCGCAAACGCAATGACTCATGCATGTAAGACATCAGCCGCCGCGGAGATCCGCACCTCCACGCAGCGCGCAGCCGCTCCCGCCCCCTGCTCCTCCCGCATCTCACCGCGGGCTTCAAACCTCAGTTTCCCCATTTTTTTTTTTTTCTTTTCAAAAGGAAGATCTTTCTTTGCATGTGGCCTATTGAACAGCCTTGAAATTGTGATCCGGACTAAATGAACAACGGGACTCCCTCCTGACTGTGACCCAGCGCGCAGCACCTCTGTGCAGTTGGACTCCTGGCTGGGCTTGCCTGGTGATGGGGCTCTGGCCACCTCCCACTTCCCCACGGCTGCGCCATCCCTCCACCTGGCTACTGCCCCCTGCGCTCCCGACCCTCCCGGTGTGGCTTCGGCGCTGGGGTAGGAAAGGCGCGGCTGTCTCACCGGTCCGCGGCGGGGCTCCAGTGCGCTCCTCCTGGTGACGCTTGGTGAGCACCGGAGAAGCGCCCTATTTATAGTGCTCGGCTCAAGCACACCCCCTTTGGGGCTGGCTGCAAACCTGCGTAACTCACGCCCAGAGAATGACGGGGAATGCACCGGGAGCTTTCTGGAAGCCTAGAGGTGGGGGTGGGGGGTGCAGCACCCGGCAGGGGGCACCGGGGGGCGCATGGGCATCACAAATGACTGCACTGGTGCCCGAGGGACCCTAGATTGGTGACTGCTCTATTTATTCCCTGTGAGCCGCCGAAGGCCTCACAGCTAGGCCCTAACAGAAAAACCTTAGAGGCACACTACACTGCTCTGGTTCGCTCCCAGCCCAAAATAGGCTCAGGATTCCACCACCCTATTGCAAGTTCATCTTTTCCATTAACCCATTAATTGCACCCTTTTCGTTTTCTCCCATTTAAATGAGAGAGTAACAGAAACACTGAAGATGACTACACAACACATCCTCGGCTCCCTAAACACTGCACTGGGCTGCTGGTCCCTTGGCGGACAGATGGAGGAAGCAGAAACGGGTTAAAAATGAGAAATCACACATCAGAAACCCAGAAGGCCTCCCCTGTCTCTGAGACGCACAGAGCTTAAGTACTATTCCTATGCAGTTGGGACCTAGTAAGGCAGGGACGGCCTCATCGGCTCTGGACCTAGGAACCTCACACCTATTTTCAAGGACACTATCCCGCTTTCTTCAGTGGTAAGGTGTTCACGTCCCCGTAAATAACCATTTACTCCATGCCCCTGTGTGGAACCCTGGTGAAAATCATGAGAGACATAAAGAGGAGAGAGACAGAGATAGAGAAACACACACAGAGAGATTATGGGAAGGGGAAGAGGAAAAGAAAGAGTAATGGAGGGGTGAATAGAATAAAAATGCATTTATATATGCATGAAAATGTCATTATTAAACTAATCATTGTGTACAATTAATATATACTAAAAGATTTTAAACCAAAGTTACTTTGTCTCAGACTTGGCCTTCACTTTGGCTTCTGAACAAGAAGCCTATGGTGGAGGTCCTCCACCGATCCCTGCTAATCAAGTAGCCGGGTCTGTGTCCCGAGGCGCTGAAAGGTTCCCTAGCTGTTTTCTGCTGAAATCGGGAACATCTGTTGCAGGCATCTCTGGAAATGAGGAAGGGTCTGGAAACCCCTACCATGTTGCTACTTCTAAGGGGGTGGAAGGAGCCAAGCTTCCCACTCTGGACCCTGGAACATTTGTGTATCAGGAAACAGGGCAAGAACCTGGCATTTCTGTCAAGGTGGTGAGGAGACAGAGCAGGTAACAGTTTGGGTGGCAGGCTTTGAAAATCGTGTAAAAGAGAACAGGCTTGAAGGAGAGATGTGTTTCCAGGAGCTGTATTTCCTTTTCATACCTATAAAGGAACAGCCAGAAGGCCAGGTTGCCACTTGGCCAAGGCCCAGGCGCTGTGGAGATCTAATCCTTTCCCAAAAGGCAGCCTACAGGAAACGTCTAGGCTTGGGCAGAAGTGGGCTAGGGCTGGCTCCAGTCCCAGCTGTGCCCCAAGGCACCCAGGGCCTTTGGATGAACCACTCTGCCCTCCAGCCTCAGCTTCTTCCATCTGGAGAGGATGGATATGAACTGCGTCCGCTCTAAGACTTTCTTTAGCCTAGCCTGGTCCAATGCCAAGTTTGAAAAGATAACTAAACCAGGAAAACAGGGTCAACAGAAACTTGGAGGAATACTTCTCTCCCAGAAACTTGTCTTTGTTTTCTTTATAAGTAGAAGAAGAAGAAGAAGAAGAAGAAGAAGAAGAAGAAGAAGAAGAAGAATTATCAGCAGCAGCTACATTTTCCATGGACACCGGGTGTCCTTGCAATGTCTTTGTTTGGCAGCTCCCTCCCATTTGGAGGTAGTAGGCACAGACTACAATGGCCACGTCTGTACGAGCTGTGGTTTGAAGGTCAGGCAGGGGGATGTGCCTTAGTCAGCTGAAGTGGGAGATGCAGGGGGAGAGCGATAAGGAGTCCCCTGCCACGATTACGAGTAGCCACCTTTCTCCAGTTCCCAAGTACACAAGGTCTGGAGGTTCAGCTTTGAGAAAACTGGCACCAGTCTTGAAAGCACCACTTGAGTGATTTGTGTGTGTGTGCACGTCCGTGTGTGTGTGTGTGTGTGTGTGTGTGTGTGTGTGTGTGTGTGTGTGTGTGTGCAGATGCATGTGTGTGCAGGGGTGAGACCACAGGACAGCCTCAGGTGTTGCTTCTCAGGTGCTAGCCATCTGTTCGTAAGTTAGACAGGCTCTCTCACTGGCATGGAACTCACCAGCTGCCCATCAAGCCCTGGGGTCCTGTTGCTACCTCCCCAGCCCTGGGGTTGTGAGTATGGGCTACTTTTTATAAAGGTACTCAGGATTCAACTCAGGCCCTCATGCTTGTATTTTACCAACTAGGGATGGCTCCTCTCCCCAACCCTGGACTTGCAGTATTCTAGGAAAATTGCAATAGACCTTGCAATAGTCTGACCCTCACACAAGAGCCTCTTCTTAACTGTATCTCGGCATCCACACCAGGTGCTCCCCTGCTCTCCTTGGATGCCTCCAACCTGAGAACTGATGCCAAGCAAAGCAATTAGTTCTTTAGGAAGCCATCTTTGCTGAAGACCTGTAAGGGCTGGCCCTGGGCCCAATTCTATCCTCAGAACCACACAAAGAAATCCCACTTATATCTCCTAAAGGCCATCTGATGGTCGAAGGCAACTTGTTCTGCTTTCCTCAGAGGCCTGGAGCTGGAAGCATGTTTGCCGTCATCTGCAGACTCTTTCACGCTCTGACCTTCTGACTTTGCCGCTCTTGAAACCCCAAAGCCCAGCTCTGAGACTGCCAATGCCAGGAGCCACCTGACCACGTAGAGCAGAATAGGATCACCTGCTTCCTTGTCCTAAGTCCTCTGCATTAGCCTCCAGCTACGTGCTGAGTCATAGGCTGATTCACAGAGTTCATTTTCACCATTCTCCCATGGCGGACATGTACAGCTGTGACTGAGAGCTGCAGCTCGGTTTCTTTTCTCTGTGGTCATGGGGCAGAGTGCTGGAGTCAGTAAAGAACTTTGTGGTGATCTATTTTTTCTCTTTAAGCTTTGCTCAGCATCTCTGGCTGCCCAAATGTCTTTGCATCTGATTTTCAGCTCGGTGCCCTTCCTATATATCCCACAGCCCTGCCATTAGCCAGCTCAGTGAGCTCAGCGTGCAGCCAGGAGGCTTCAGTTCCCAACAAAAACAAAGTAGAATTGGGCACAAGCAGAGTCCTGTGACCCACACTAAAAATCTGCTCTTTAGGCAGTAGTTATTTAAGGGCACATTAAGTCAATCACATTATGACATCATGGATAATAAAATTGTAAAGAGTTGAATCTACCAAGGGTTGGGGAAGAAGTTTCCTCAGCATCTTTTCTGGGCACCCCTGGAGTCCAGAAACACTTCATCAGTTGGTCCTCCTTATCTTCCCATCTGGGATTTCCCAGAAGAAAGGGCTGTGGCTAGTCAGTACTGAATTGCTTGTCACCCACCTGGAAATAGATCAGTGTTCCTTAAACTGGCTTTATCTTTCCTCCTGCTGCAGCCAGGCTGTCTGTATTTCACTTTATAATTTCTCAGTCCCAGCCTTTATCTCCAAATGTTAAGCTAATGAGCCTTGAAAAAAAATTGACTCACAGATGTACCTCAAATCAAGATTTTTCTCTACAATCACCTAGACCCCAATTATTCATATCTGTGCATTTCTATAGAACCAGTCAATGTCTAGCCCAAAGAATAACCTGACTACTCTAAAGACTACCAACGAGGACATGCTCAGTTGCTAGAAGACTTGCCTAGCATGCATGAGGATCTTGGTACAATTCCCAGAACCACATACTCCGGCTGCAATGGCACATGAGTGGAATCTCAGCTCTCAGGAGGCAAAGGCAAGAGAACCCATACTTCAAGATCATCTTCAGTTATATGGCAAGCTTGAGGCCATCCTTAGAGGTACAAGACCCTGCCCTTAAAACATGAATTAAATTATATTAAAACTACCAAATCGAGTCCTCCCCATCAGAGGTTATGATTGAACTCATCTGCCACAGCATCTGAATACATATATAGCACATGCATAATATACTTTATATTAATATGTAATTTATGTTAATATAATATTACGTTATATATGTACATACATAAACACACACATACAAACATGTATGTATCTATCCAAGTAGAAGCAGCCACAGTTTGGAAACACAATTTGAAAATTGCTGGCTTATGCTTTACTGCGTCTGACCTTCTCCTTGTCGTAGTTAGTGTGTGGTATTACTCTCTTTTCAGAGAGCATGGGGAGAAGAAGACTCTGAAGACCTCTACAGGGATCTGCTCACTCTGGCTGAAGGCCCTGCAGTTCTCTACTCACAGCTTCCTCTTATGTCTTATTTCTAAGACAACATGTGGTATGGTTATCTTATGCGCATGAGCGTTTGTCTGTGTGTCTGTATACCCACCACATGTGTGCAGTGCCCAAGGAGGCCAGAAGAGGGAGTTGGATCGCCTGGAACTGGAGTTACAGGCTGTGGGCCACCATGAGCACTGGAAACCGAACTTCTACAAGCCAACTCTCCACACATCTGAAAACCCACACTGTATCTGATCTTACCTATGCTCCTTCAATCTCCTTCTCACATAAGGTGTCAAATACTGCATTCTCTCCATCCCTACCCAGCACATGCTCCATTTTGCCTTTATGTGTGATTTTTAGACTAAACCCAGGATACCTGCTTGGTTGACCAGGTGAGACAGTAGCAGACACTATCTATTTTGACTTCATGGGCCCTGTCTCCGCTCACTTATGCATAATGTTATATAATGCTGTGCACCTCACACTGATGTAAGCTTACCTGTGGGGCAGGCTTGGAAGACACAGACACTGCTGGCTCCACATTTCCTCAAAGATTTAAAGGAAAGGATGAATCATAGTCAGTAAGCAATTTCCCTTTTTTTAGCTGTCTATGGGCAGCTTCCCTCTGAACGTAGTAGTATTGAATTTTTATTTAAATGCACATATTGATGGGTGATATCTGTGTTTATAAACAAATATGTAAGTGA